TCCTTATAAAATAGCATAAAAATTGTTCAATTAGCGCACGAACCAATATTTTTGCTGGCTGGCTTTCAACAGATTACCAACATTAATCTAATTTTAGGGCGCGTGTAGCATATTTTCGATCGTGATCGAGACGGCGGCGACGATAACGCGATGACTGTAATCTACATATTATATAATACCTCACAACACATAATATGAACAAAATATAACAATATAAATAAAATTAAAATATGTACGTGTTTGTGTTTTGGATTGGTCGGTGGCGGACATGCAAATAATAGAACATATTGCGCGGCAACACAATAGGTCAATAAAGATTTGAGCAAATTAGACAGTTTTGTATTTTAATAATAAATGACAATTACCAGGATCATATAAAATGATGGGCTACACAAAATCAGACCACTGTTGACATCTTAAATGCTAAATTTAGTAGCATTCCGTATCGTAGAACTTTGCACTGGACGAACAGCTTATGTGCTACCAAAGCCAGAAATTATTTAAAAAATACCTCCTATGAAACCTCACAAGATGGGATATAAACTATATGTATTTAGCTGCTTCTAAGGATTCGAATGAATACGTAACTGAACGAAGCAATACCTTTTTTTGCACCAAAAGACACCGGATGAATATTACCATCGCTATCTCTTTGCTGTAAAATTACACCTAAACCTAATAAAGATGCGTCTGTTACTAAAATAGTGTCGGCTTCTTTGTCATAATGCATTAGTACTGGTAGTGTTATTAATTTATTTTTTAATTCATTAAAAGCGTTTTCGTGGTCTTTTCCCCACATTATTTTATCTTTTTTTGTTTTAAAATTACCCTTTGTTAACTCTGGTAAAGGGAAAGTGATTTTACTAAAATTTGGAATGTACCGGCGAAAATAGTTTATATTAGTCGGTGAAACTACTTGTTTAATTGCTCTAATCCCTTCATTTGTAGGACAAATACCCTTACTATCAATTATATTTCCTAAAATGTTCAACTCTGTGTACCCAAATTTACATTTTGATAAATTTAATTTTAAATTAAATTGTTTAAATCTTTCTAAAGTTAATTCTAATGAAATTAAGTGTTCGTCAAAGCTTTTCCCAAAACACGTGCAATCGTCGATATAATTTACATTAATTTTATAATTTAAATTTGTCATAATTTTATTCATAGCCTCTTGATATTTACTCGGACCGTTACAAATTCCCATTGGCATACGTTTAAATTGATACTTTCCAGTTGTAGTACAAAATGCTGTCAGTTCCCTAGCTTTTTTGCTTAATTTAAGTTGGTGGAATCCTGACATAGCGTCTAAACATGAAAAAAATTTGTTTCCTGCTAAACAGTCGTATATGCTTTGAATTACAGGAAGGGGAAAGGATTCTTTTACAGTTATATTAATTAATTTTCTGTAGTCTAATACCATTCTGTATTGTGCTATAGATTTTCCCTTTTTTGAACCCTGAGGTAAGCCTTTTGGCACTAAAAAAATTGGGAACGAATATGGTGAACTTGAAGGCTCGATTATACCCGCCTTAAGCATTTCTTGCGTTTGTATCTCTATTTCATCCCTTTCAAACTTACTTAGTTTAAAATTTGGGAGATTTATTGGCGTGTCTTTAGTTAAATAAATTTCAATTGGTTCGGTTTTTGACTCTCCTAAATCCCATTTATTTTTTGAAAAAACTGATTCATATTTTTGTAACAAAGATAATAATTTTTCTTTTTGTGTTGTGTTTAAATTTGGATTAATATCAAAATTTATTTTATTATTAATTTTGTCATCAGGTAATTTACGCTCGATTTTTTTAAATGTAGTATACGGTTTTTTATTTGTAGCTTTGCTATTACTATTTGAATCATTTAAATCTAATGAAATGTGTTTTATTTCTCGCACTTTGGTTAATGGACAATTAGCCCGCTTACGATCGTTCTCGCCTTTTTTCCACGTTTCAGGTGCATTTCCAATTGCTTCTAACATTTTTCTTTCTTGTAATAAGGCACGAGAAGTATGTAGTGAACGAAAATCGTGCGTGAAAGTAACGCGACTTACATTTAAATTTGGATTATTTTTATCGTAACATCCCGGTGTCCAATGACTATTTTCAAAAAAAACTACCAGAAATTTTCTACCTGGCTTATAAAATGCTAGACCTACTATATTTTTAGAATTTTCAAAATTTGGACATATAATTAATAAATTAAAATTATAAAAATCAGATACCGCTGATAAGTCCTCGCCCTCTAGCCAGATTGGGTTTTCAAGTAAATTTAATCCCAATAAATGAGCTATTGTTTCCGCTGTTACATAAATTTCTTCATGTGCAAGCATTGCTGTCAACGCATAAATACCACAAAATCCGTCTCCGGGAACCTCAGTTAACTTATGACTACCCCTAGCAATAAGATGTAACCTCGGCTGAATAACTAATAAATTTCTCCTTTTTTCAGTTTCAATTTTATTGTCATTACTGTCAACCGTGACAATTTTATCAGTATTTCCTTCACATTTTACTTCAGTATTATTTGAAATTGTATTGCTTTCCTTATCAGTTTAAAACTACTTCACTTTTATTACCAGTTAAAATTATTTGTTTATTGACAAAATTTATTTTTGCTTTATATAATTTCAAGAAGTCCGTGCCTAACAAACTAGGTCCTACTAAATTCTCGATCATACATTTAAATGGAAATTCAATATTATTAAAAATTACAGTAATATTAGCAATACCAAGCAGTTTTAATTTCGAGCCGTTTGCTGTTATTAATTTTACACAATCCGTTGGTTTTGGCTTGATTTCTAAAGGTAAGTTATCAGTATTAATTATACACGCGGTAGCCCCAGTGTCTATTACAAAATTATATTGTTTATTATTAATATTGCCTATTACCTCAAGTCTTAGACCTGGTTCAAATGCAGACGGAAGCGAAGTCGAATTACATGTCGTAATATACTTATTTATTGTATTGTCATTAGTTTTTTGTTTTTCAGCTATTATTTTTTTATACTCTAAATCATATTGAATACTATTATAATTTCTAGACGTTGATATTTTATTTCCATTGTATAAATTACTTATATTATAATCGTCTATGTCATCGTTTTTATTTATGTCTATTTTATTTTGCTTTTTGTTTTGTTTTATGTTTTTTAATTTTTGTGCCGGAAGTAGAGTCACATCGTTTTTATATTTTTTTCCAATTATTGAATCTAATAATGCTATATTACAATTTTGTGTTTCGGTAGAATTTTTATGTTGGCACAGAGGGAGTCTAACCGCTCTCTCTTGCCTTAAAAGTTTTTTTGATTAGTGTTATAAAATGAAGTGTTATTCGTATTAAATTTATTATCAAACATTTGATTATTAGAATGTTGATTTGTGACATTATTTACATCTACATTTTGCCTGTGAACCGTATTCGATTGATTTTGATAATTATTATTAGCGATTTGCTCATTATAGTTAAATTTTTGGTTATTATTATTTCGATAATAATTTTGTGGATGATTATATTGAATAGGTTGCGCGTTTTTATATTTATTATTCCATTTCGGTTTCGCAAAACTATTATTATTATTGTTTGAATAATATTTATTATTTGGATTAAAGTTCCTATGATCATTACCATTCATATTTTGATTTGGAATAAAAGAATTGCTATTAGTATTATAACTACTAAAATTATTGCTATAATTATTATATGGATTATTATCGCACATATAATTATTCGAGTTATTTTGATTATTGTTAAAATTTTGATAAGGGTTCACATGTGTGTTGTTAAAAAATTTCTTTTTTTGATTAAAATTATGATTACCGTTATTTAGACTATTTAGTTTCGATTTTAATAATTCATTTTCTTTCTTTAAATTTTCAATATCCACTGTGTTAATACTCTGAACATCCGATTTTATTAATTTTGAATTTTCTATTTTCTTTAAATTAGTTTCTAAATTGTCTAATGTATCGTTATTCATGATAATTACTGTATTGTAATATTCCGGTGTTAGAGCATCTAATATTATATCTATCTTTTCAGTCTCGGGAATGGTGTTATTCGTTTGGCTAATTAAATACAATATATCCGCTAAAAATTCCGATATCGTTTCTGTCGATTTTAATTTTTTATTTCTTAATTTATTTCTTAACATACGATTTCTAGCTGGCGAAGCAAATTTGTCTTTAAATATTTGTTCTATTTCATCAAAAGTTAAATTTAAATTATTCATTATTAATGTTTTATACAGTTTATAAGCTGAATTTTTTAAGTATAATGGTAAATAAGTTAACTTTATTTGTGAAGTCCAATCGTTAGCAATAGCTACTCAGTGGCGGTTATAAGGGGGGGGGGCGAAAGGCGGATCCCCCCCCCCCTGGGATTTATTTTTTTTAAATTTAGTATATCGCTGACCCACAACACCTATCGACAAATTTTTGAATTTTATGATTTGATAGCAAAATATTTTTTCGTTTTAACCACGGATAATATAGTATCATAGTATTGTATATTATCAACACTTATGTCTCGGTCAGGCAATACATGCTTTGTCATTTATCAGTATTGTCAGTATCACATAATTTTCGAAACCGCCAAAATTCACGGTGTCGAATTAAATTTATCTATACACCGGTGATACTAATCAATAATCATTATCACGCTAACAGTGTACACCACGGTTTAAGATATACCGGTAGATATATCTAGATATATATATATATATATATATCGGTAGATATACGGTAGGTATATCTTAAACCGTGGTGTACACTGTCTATACACTACTAACGCTATTAGTCCGTGCCCCGTGGTCCGTGGGCACGCTTAACATAACTGATAACAGTTATCACTTATCAGTACTAGACTAGACATGCTTTATTTTATCGTTGGTGATTTATTTTGAAATGCGTTAATTTGTATTTTTCTAAATAGTTGTAATTTCATATTTACACTACCTAGTACCTATTAATTTAAATTGTGTTATTTAATATTTTATTTTTAATATGTCAATGAAGCGAATAAGTAGTTATTTTAACATTACATCCAAAAAATCAAAACCTAATTTGCCATTGGAGGAAGATCAAAATACAATCGATGGCACTAGTACAGGTACAACTGAACTTATTTCTATACAAAAGCCTGAAGCTGAGATTGGTGAATCCATACAGTCTGAAATTACAGATGAATTAGATATAGCAAATTTTACATGCCGAAGTAAAATGGTAAGTGATTATATAAAATCAATTATACTAAAAAGGAGCAATATTCCTAGTTCTAAGTTTCAATATCCATTTTCTCTTCATAGTAAAAAAGGTAATGAAGAAAAGCGATTTTTAAGAAAAAATCATTTTGAAAAATACCCATGGGTTGAGTATTCCAATTTAAAACATGGGTTGTTCTGTAAGATATGTGTTTTGTTTTTAACTTCAACTAAAGTTGGTATGCATAGAACAGAACAAATAACAAAATTGGTTACCGAACCTATTAATAAATTTGCAAAACTATTAGGTAAGGATGGTGTATTAGAAGTACATCATAATAATGGATATCATAAAGATAATGCACAAAAAGCTATAGACTTTCTTAGTACTTATGATAAACCTAAAAATGAAATTATTAATTTATTAAATGACCAACGTAGTAAGGAAGTATTAGAGAACCGTGAACGGTTACGACCAATTATAAAAACTATTTTACTTTTAGGCCGGCAAAATATTCCTTTGCGCGGTCATCGAGATGATGGATCTTTAGTTTGTCAAACAGAAGAAGAGGACAAAGTGAATTCTATAGTTAATCAAGGGAATTTTAGAGAGCTACTGAAATTTAGAATTGATGCTGGTGATCAGTTACTTGAAACACATTTGAAAACGACTGGTTCTAGAGCTACATATATTAGCAAGTTAACACAAAATGAAATTATTGAATGTTGCAAACAAGAAATATTAGATTTTATACTTTTAGAAATAAAAAAAGCAGATATATTCAGTGTTCTGTTTGATGAAACCACTGATATATCTAATATTTCACAAATGTGTTTAATTATTCGGTATGTATTAAACAATATTATATATGAACGATTTTTGTCATTTGTCGATTGCCATAATTATATTTATAAAATAAACAAAGATGATGTGTCAAATATTGAAGACAATGTAGAACCCAAAATAACAGGAGAGAATTTAGGAGATACAGTGGTAAAAATATTACAAGAATTAGGATTAAACTTAGACAACTGTATAGGTATTGGGACTGATGGCTGTTCTGTTATGGTTTCTGAAGTTCGTGGTGCTGTGCAACAAATAAAAAAATATGCCAAAAATGCCATACATAGCCCGTGCTCTAATCATGCATTGAACCTCAGTATTGCTAAATCATCTGCTGTTCAATCTGTACGAAACTGTGTAGGAATTATAAAAGAAGTTGTTTCCTTTTTTCATGTATCTGCTAAACGTAACTATACTCTTAAACAACATTTGACAACACATAAAAAATTACACAGTTTGTGTGAAACAAGGTGGGTCGAAAGACACGATAGTATAATGCAATTTAAAGAATCCATTATTGAAATTGTAGATACTCTAACTGATGTATCTGAATGGAATGAAAATATTACTTCTTCAAAAGCCAAAATGATGATAGCAGCTATTTGTAATTGTGAATTTATTATATCAATTTTTTCATTATCAAGTTTATTAGCTGTAACATTTCCTATAAGCAAAATATTGCAAGGTAAAGATCAAGACATTATTTCAGCATCAGAATGTATTAAAGATATATACACAATTCTTGAAAGGAACCGTAAGGAATGTGAAGACAAATTTAAATTATTGTTTAAAGAATGTGAGCCGATTTTAAAAGACCTTAATGTTGATATGAGATTACCAAGAATTACTTCGCGTCAAAAACATAGACCAAACCTATTACCATCAAACAATATTGTTGATTACTATAGAGTTAATATTTATATACCTCTATTGGACAATATTTTAGAAGATTTAAACTTTCGATTTTTGAGCAAGGAAAATAAAAATATTGCATCATTAATGCAGCTTACACCAAAGTATCTTATTAAAATAAAAAATGAAGACTTGCATAATTATTTGTCAACAATTTTTGAAATTATGACTGGAAATTATACATATTTTCAAGCTTCATCAAAAGATATAATACAAAATGAATTAGATTTATGGTTTACTAAATGGAAGAGACATGAATCTGAAGGTAAATATACATATTTAAAGTTTTATATTTAATTAATAAATAAATCTGTTAAAACAAACATTTTAATATCATTAATTTCATTTATATAAAATACTACATTTTTTTTAGGGGAAAATATTCCTAATAATGGGTTAGAAGCTCTAATTTCGTGTCCGGAATCAGTGTTTCCAAATATTCATTATATTCTTAGTATTATTTGTTCACTACCTATTAGTGTTGCTTCAGCAGAACGAAGCTTTTCTACGCTTAGAAGGTACCTATTATAAGTAATGTATAAATCATTTGACTTTTGAGTATTAGGTATTGCTCAATAGTCAATAAACATTAAAAAAAAAAAAAACTCAAATTTCAAGGTATATTAGTATATATTATTATATTTATTTTATTATTTACTAAATGTATAGTGGTATACACTATACAATACAAATGATTAAACGATTTACTTTTCTAGTTTGCTTCACTTTACTACAATTAAAAATATTATTTACTTATACTATAAAAAAATAAGTACCTACTTAATTTTATTTGCTTATGTTTTTCATAATATTTCTTTATAAGTATTTTTATTAAAAATATGCATTAGTTTTGCATAGTTGGATGCTTTAAATAACTGCTTGATTAATATTTTTTTATTAAAAATTTTTCAATGCTATACCTATATTGCTACTATGCATGTGATTTGCTTTATTTATTTAGATTGAAGACATGGTTGAGGTCAACAACTGGTGAAGACCGATTAAATGGGCTAGCACTGCTTCATATCCATAGAGACATTAATGTTAATATAGATAATATTATTACACGCTTTGCTAAGCAAAAAACAAGGCATATGCTTTTATTATAATTATATTTTATACCTAAGTCAATATTAGTTTATAATACCTTTTTTTTAAACATTAAGTTAAAGTGTGTTAATAACTTAATATTATTAATATATAAATATTATTATACATTTATATTTTATACCTATAATCCGTGTGTATATTTCATATTATATGTATATAGTATATACTATATACCTATAAATGCTATGGGGTGGGGGAAGTTTGGTTTTATTTTCGCCCCCCCCCCTTGAACAGCATGTATAACCGCCACTGTAGCTACTACATTAAAGTACTCGAAAAATTCTAAAACGCATTCATCACCTGAACCGTTAAAAATATTTGGAACAAATTGTTGAAGTCTTGCCATTTTAGTTTGTGAAATTATTTTATTTGTATTTTCGGTAGTTTTCAATTTATATTCAGCTTCATTATTATAATTTGTTTTAGTTTCTAATATTATTGGACAAATTACTCTTTGAATTAATTGTTTCTAAGCTATTTTCCAAGTTAAAGTTTTTATTTAATTCTATAGTTTCAAATTTATAATTTTCTGTTTGCTTATTAGTATTTGAATCTGGTGACCGTGATTTTTCCAAGTCTATTAAGAGATTTTTTAATTGTTGGACCGCGTTTCCAGTTTCGACAGTATTGTTTTTATTTTCTAATGTTTCGGATTGTAATTGTGGTTTAAATTCATTATTATTATCACTAAAATGTACTTGGCTTTTATTTAAATTTAATGAAAGATTGCTTTCTGTAAAAGTAAGATCTATACTATCGTCAGAGTTATTTTTCTCTTCGCTACCAAGTGATTCTATTCTGAAATTTTTTACAGCCGATTTTGCAAGATTTCTTAATTCTAAGAGAGTTGATGATTCTTCACAATTAATATTACAAAATTTTAAGAAGCCCACTACTTTGGATTTATCTAACAAATGTTAGATAACGCTACCGTTTTTTGGGAAATAATAAATTCAAATTTTTTCCCTACGGGTGATAGTTTATTAAATTCTTCTTTACTTAAACTTTTGACCTCGTACAATGTACACAATGTAAATTTTTTAACTAATATAGCCGAAAAAGGTATCTTTCCAAATTTAGAATTTTCAAAAAAAATCCCCTAAGTCGTTCTACTCGATTGATCGTAATAAGGTTATTAAATTTATTTTATTTATTTCTGAATTGAAATTTTCGTTTAAAAATAATATATTTTTGTTTGTTACTTTAGCAGTCTGATTATTCGTATTTCGTTTTATATAAAATTTATCGTCCATTAAAAATTATTAGTCATTAAGAGAAATTTGAAAATACAATGACTTTACATAAGATTCACCTGACCTAATACACTAATATTACAACACAAGGGGTGTACCTCAGAATCGAAATTTTTTCAGAAAAATTTTATTTCTTAAAAATCGGGACTCCAGGGACGAGCGCCTCCACCAATTGTAACGTCCCCTCTTCACCTGGCGTGTTTGCGACGCTCTCGCATCTTCTTACCTATAAAGTTATGTTTTGATTAACGAGGTCTCGGGGACTCGACCTCGGTGTGTAATATTAATATACTAGATCAGGGTTACCTTATTTAAGTAAAGCACAATTGTATAAAATGTAACGTATATTTAACAGATAATTTAAGATTTATATAATAGAATGAAGGTTACCGATCCGGGTAGATTGACAAGCCGTTGAGTGTGGATGGTGGATGGCTGCACGGATCGTTGAGGAGTCTTCTGGTCGTCTGTCTGCTCCTGGTGTCGCACACACACTCCTCGCACACACTCTCCTACACTACACGTATTCGTCCTTGTTATATACCTTATACTGCTGCCTAAAAGCCTTAGGTCAGCAGTCGGCCCCGCTTGCCATTCCTTACACTCAGCATTTTAACAACGTGTGCTCTACTTAAGGAATAATGTACGATGTCGATAGACGACAATCGTTACAATATAATAATACAATTTAAATAAATCGAATATTATTATATTTTTAAATTGATTTTTAATACACTTGTTCTTATTACATTATGTTTTATAATTTAATTTGTTAATAATTATTTTGAAAAGGATCAAAATAAGAGAAAGTTAGTTACAACGTGTTTTTACTAAAATAAATGTTTTTTTTTTAAAATTATTTATTTTATTTTTTTGTAAGTTCTTATGCGCAATGTTGCTTAGTAGCAACAAATACAAATTGCTCAATTTTAATATTAAAAAATGATTTGAGAATTTTTTTAATATTTTTCCTGAATTCCTGACCTATAAATTAGTTTAAAAATATTTATTTTCTTTTATCGCACATTGAAGGGTTAAATTCTTTGAGTTTTTTATTGTATAACATATATTTCTTAAAATTGAAGTTTACTGACTATTTTAACGTCCTAACCATAAAGTATCACTTAAAGATTGTAAAAATAATAATCGATTTAAATGTTTAGAAGTTTAACGATTCCTCTGTTTATTTAATGTCAATCCTGCCTTAGAAAATAATCTTTCGCTTGTGACAGACGTCGCAACAGGTATTAGATATTTAAGGGCAACTTTGGATAGTATAGGATACACTTTGCACATATCCTTCCATATTAGCAAAGGATCATCTGATAGTCTGGCATGACTGCTTTCAGGTATAAATTCAATTCGGAGGAAAATCCACTATCCTCCAGTAACTATTCTCTACGGGATTATTTACGACTGGTAGATTGTTGAACATATTTAGCATGATCTTGCCACAAATTGAATGACTGAGGTTCTTCTACTGCTGAAAAATAAAAAAATTAATATTACATGTTACATCACAGATTTATTTTGTATAATATGATAAATTGTATATTCATACTTGTGTTGTCTGTATCAGATGAGTTTTCACTGGAGCTCATGGTCTGTGTTTGTTTGATCTCATTAGATATATACCTCAGCATCTTGGATAATGCGACGGTGTCTTTAAAATAAAGTTTTTTAAAACATGGGTCCAAAATAGTTGCCATACCTAAAAGGAACAACTTTCTACTGAACTGAAACGTTTATCACATTGTACAATAATGGCAGATTTTAGCTGAAGTCTCATTTCTTGTTTTGGTTGGAATTCTTTAATATTTTTCTGCAGTATATTCATCATAGGAATCACCATACTTGTAGTTACGTATTTTTTGGCACAAAGTTCCTTTGTAGCAGCTTCTACTGGTCTTGATATATCTATTACATCTGAGATATCTTGTACTTCATTTGCCGATACCATATCTGGAACAGAAACATGCCTATGAACAATGTCATTTACAATTTGTTTTAAACAAATAAATCTCTCCAACATATAAAATGTGCTGTTCCAACGAGTAGGAACTTCATGAAGCAGTTTTGTATCACCCTTAGTCGTCTTTCTAAGCTCGTCATTCGCAACAACGCTTTGCTTAAACCATCTAACGATGTTTTTAACTTTAGAAATTAAAGTGGTAAGTTCAGGAACATGTAATATGGCTTGCTGAACCACAAGATTTAATGCACGAGCAAAACATATAATCTGACTTTTTTATCAAATGCTAAATCAATAGCTTTAACCATATTTGCTGTTCCATCTGTGGTAACAGAAACTATACTTGTAATCAATATACTCCATTTATCACACACTTCTACTAACTTAGAAGCAATGTACTCAGATGTGTGCTTTTCGAACAGTTCAAAAACGCCTAATAGACCTGAATTTATTATATAGTTGTTCACAAAATGTATGGTAATGCCAATATGACTTCTTGTCTGTATATCTGTCCATATATCAGTAGTCAACGCAAAGTGTTGAACATTTTTTAATTTGTCAATAAACATATTTTTCATTGAATCATAAAATAAAAATATTATACGAGAAATTTCCCTCCGACTTGAAATTTTAAAAATTGGTACAACTACGTTCATCAAATTAACAAAGCCTTTATCTTCTACAATGCTAAGTGGTTGATTGTTTTTGCACACCATTTACATTATTGCATGGGTAATTTTTTCAGATTTCTGACCGCCATCTTTGAAAGAATTTAAAAATGCAAATGATTCATTTATTGTTTTTTGCCTTTTAAATGAACTCATAAATGTGTTTTGGGTCATATTTAACATACTATCCTTATCACTGTTTTCAGTCGATTCATCAATATTAGTCTTAAAAGTAGATGGTCCTGGGTCATCTGGATGGGTTTCATGTTGTTCTTGCGATTCAGTACGTTCCATATAATATACTTTTGCGTTCACTTTTCTAGATAAAATATTACCATGTACATTTTTTAAATGATCATTCAAGTTAGTAGTATTACCTAAAAAAAATTATTATGTTAAATAATCGATAAAATGTCAATTTCTTTTAAGAGCTATAGTTTATTAATTGTGTATTAGTATTGTAACAAATAATTTTATGTTTTGACTTTGATAGTTATAATACCCATACAAATATAATTATAGTTATGGTACCTAACCACATCACAGAAAAAAAATGTTGGTGTAGTTATATAAAATAAAACTATATAAAATACTGCGATAGGTACTCTACATGATGTTTTCAGTGTCTTTTGACATAAATTACATACTGCGGTTTTATTGTCTTTTTTATAAAAAAACTTCAACACATCGCTTCGACTCATGTTTACACTTTTACATAAACAAATAAAATTACAAAACGCAATTAAGCCGATTGGCAGTTACGGCGCGCTAAACTCCGACGTTTACTCAGGTCTCAGTTTAGTATTAGACATTAGTGTTAACAGCGTTTATGCAGATAAGACTAGAACACGAGATACATGAGAGCGGATGAGTGATATGAGATTATGAGCGGCGCCATGATCACGGCGTGCCGAGAGAAAAAACAGTGTGGCGCAAAATACAACAAACATGAAAACATGTGTAATAACACTAATAACTTTTGGTGCGAGTCTCGCACTGCGAGACAACATTATAATTTGTAATACAATTATTTCAAAACATCGATGTTTTCTTCGATGTATCGTCTATAAAAAACATCGATAAAACATCGTTGTATCGACCATAAA